GCCCTTTCCATTCATAATGATGGAGACAAACACAGAGAGCTGTAAATGTGAAAGATCTGCTTCAAACCAATTAAAATCAAATAGTTGCACATCTCTGCCAAAGCAGGCAAACAGAGAGAACATGAAAGGACTGGCGACAGTGTGCGGAGAGAAAATAAGGATTTCGTAAATAATTGGTTGCTTGTACAGTCATGGTTCAACATCAAAAGCTTTCAGATTTTATTCAGATATTTACATGCTCTAACTAGACCGATAATTTTGCTGTTCCACAGCTGCTGTTTTGCTGTCGGTGTTCAGTATTTTAAAACTTACAGACAGAACAGCAGAGGTTAACAGAGAGGTTTATTAGCTGTTTCCCTTTGGGGTTACAGAGGCTGAACCGATGTTTAATCCGTCGTCATATGGGATCACTGGGCTTTGTGTCTTTTTCAGGGACATCCCTGTGGACTTCAAGTACATCGCTGAGCCAAGTATGCACTCTATGCCAGCTGTGACTCTGTCTCCCAATGGTGAGTTGCCTGATTATTGCAAAAAAATAAAAATTAAATCTCAAGCACACAAACTGCAGCATAGAGTGGAGTACTCAAGGGAACACAACCTTTATTACCACACTGATGTAAATTCATACTGCCCAAGGTTGGCCATTTCTCAGAGGAGTAAAACAACACGAGATCTGAAGAACATGTTGCATAAACTGAGCCAGTCTACAGAGTTTCTGGTCTGTATATTGTTGGTTGACTGGATTTCTGAGGTTCTCAACCTGAAGCTTCCCACCTGGTTACAGCTGTGTGAAGTGCTATAAATAAAGACCTCTGCATCTGTTGCAAACTATATTATTTGGCACTGGGAAGGGCCGTATGTTTTGTTCATTTTCATGATTATGAAATGATAATACCAAAGTGTTATACAATATTACAGAAGACTGCTGACTGTCATTTGTCAGGCTGGCGAATATTGAGACTGGGGCTGGACGACACGGCAGAAATCACAATAGATGTGTTTCATATCTGTCTAGATTGATTTGTTTTGTATTTATTAGTTTTCTGCTTTAAATATATGAACTGGTGATGCCACCTTTTACGTTTTATCTACAATTTTCTTATGAGCTGTTGCACTCATTTTCTCCTTGTCTTTTCTGTATAAGCACTTATGAGGTCTGGCTGCACAGGTTACTTAATGGGCTGTTGCTAGGTTACCAATGAGTGAGTGACTTAATTGATACCACCAGAGGTTGAGCTACTTAAGCTTTTTCTCTGACTACATCTCCCAGAATGCTGTGCGGTTCCGTCAGTGAAATTCTATTGGAAATATTTTCTTTTTGCATTGATGACGTATTTGTATCATAATATGTTGTTTTTGTTTATTTATTGCCCATCTCTAATTGATACCCACTAAAAGAGGCTAACTCTTGTATTCAAGCATAACAGTAAGTGAAAAGAAAACTTGGGTTCATAAGCAATGGGGATGGATGCAACCCAGGCTTCCTTAAAACCTCAGCAGAACCGCAGGCCAATCACCTCTTTGTCACAAAGTATGGCGCTATAATTATTCATGCAGAACAAGCCCTGACTAAGTAAACAAGTGCTTGAAAAGAATCATTGTGTATGCAATGAATCTATATAACAGGAGTTTCACTTTAGAACTTAATTACAAATTAAAGAAACTTTAAAATGACTCTCTGATTTATTAAGGTCCACCTGCACACCAAGACATAACATCGTAAAGCATTTCAATACCAGATGTACCCATCCACCTAAAGCATCTAAACCAGAAACATTTGAAAGTGCTGATAGGGAATTTTTTTCAACCAACAGACTCAGGCCTGCTGCTTCTCTTTCTCCCCTTTTTTCTTTTTGCAGTGATAAGCAAACTGCTTCCTCGGTTTAGCGTCATAATTAACATACAGTTTTGAATGCGTTATTGATGTTCCCATTAAAACATGCCAAGGAAGTGAAGAAGTGCGTCTTTCCAAATGTCAGTCTATTCCTTATGGGCAGATCTATTGAGCCCAGGCATGTTGGAAATTATTATTATGATTTATGTAGCGCAGGCTTGCTGCTGGCACTGTGTCTCAGTTGTACTGAATATTGATGTTGTCAGATGCTTATTAAGAACAGATCAAGATGTGTGACAAGGGCATTCTGGGTTATTATGCAGATTTTGCACTCTGGGTTAGATTAATCTTGCCTTTTTCTATTTTGTTTGCAAAGCTTTGAGTGGGAATAGAAACTGAATCTGACAGCAACCAAGTTGCATAAGGAACACTAACAGAAATGGACATTCCACTTTAACTCCAGCTCTTGGTTTTCCAATAGGCTCTGTGTTGCAGCCCATCATCTTCAACTAGGGCCTTACTCAGCTTTTTCTCTCTCCTTTCCACCTGCCTAAATCCCTTTCCACTCATGTTCTCTTTTACTCTCTTCCCTCATTCTGGTCGACGTTTGTATTTGTCCCAACATGATTTGTTTTTCCTCAGCGTGTGAATAATGAATGTGTTCTCAGTGGGAAACCATTCAGTTTTCTCTTACGCCTAAATGACACCCAGACCTCCCCCCTCGCGCCACATCTGCAGTCTCTTGTTCCCCGGATCTTCCTATTTTACTAAAAATTGTTTTTGCGCTCCTGTACCTATTAGAGTAGACATTTCAGGGCTTTTTAAAGCTTTTTTTTTCTGAAGAGGGTTGTAACATGCACATACACACCGACTGGATACCTTGCTTTCATACCTCATTAATAATCATGTTCCTGTTAAGAGGTGCAGTGAGTTGTGTGATGCTGTGAAAGTGATTTACTGCTTCCCTTTGCTGTGTAGTGACTTGAAACTGTCGTCATGTCAAGAGCTGAAACACAGCGCGAAACAGATTATAATTGAGCACCTAATGATGAGAAAGCCTGTGCATTTTTTCTGAAATTGCTTCAATCTTTCTAATTTAGTGAAGGTAGAAGGATGGGTCCATGCCCTTCTTGGGGAACTGTCCTCCTTTTATTTCAAAAGTTTTCTTCTTGAGTCAAGTTTCTGCTGTTTTTCTAGCTAAAATGTTTGAGTCCTGAATTTAGATGTCAAGTTTACAACTCGACTGGGAGCAGCATAAAAATATGACATCAAAGATCTCAGTGTGTGCTTGTTAAACCTCTGGCTGTACAGAGCCATGCAAATGAGCCCAAGTAGTGAGCTAACAGGCAATTTAAAATGTTCTGTACAATCGTGTCGCTTTAATGCTGCTTCACTTGATAATAAACATTTTTTCCCCTCCATTTTTTCCCCCTCCCTTTTAAACATCTTCTGCTGCATTGCCGACACTTTTAAATTGTGGTCGGGAAAGACGAGTTTCTCCCGTTGTTTACACATGCTGGTTTCTAATTTCAGGTAAATGGCTGGCGTGCCAATCCATGGACAACCAGATTCTTATCTTTGGAGCCCAGAATCGCTTCAGACTGAACAAAAAGAAAATTTTCAAGGGTCACATGGTGGCTGGCTACGCCTGCCAAGTGGATTTCTCCCCAGACATGAGGTAGGGTGTTTTCTGATAGAACGCAGCAGTACCCTCACGGAAACCAGAGGAAGTTTTTACAAATATCAATGACAAACAAAGCCTATGATTAATGAAAGTACAGCAATAAATTAACAAAAAAAACGACAAAAACTGTCATGGTAATGTTGAAATGTACTGCCTGTCTAAGGACAGAGAAAGTAGACTTTAAGAGAAATTTACTACATGGCCAAAATACTGATATCTTGGCAAGGCTATGAAGCCTGTAGTAAGCTTTTATGAAATCACAGTCTACTGAAATTTTCCATCATGCTGTTCTTGCAGTTTAACTGATGCTATTGCTACAAGAAATCCTTATTTTTTTTGTAAGAGCTTCCATTTACTGAAGATCTTAGAATAAAATAAATCTATAATTGCATGAACTTTGGCAGTCCAGCTTCCTTTTCATTTAATTTTGTCCATGTCTCACCCACCACTGTCCACATTGGTTTACAGGTGCTCCAACGTCCTGTCATTATTCATTGCATCCCCACAACTTCTGACAGAAAAAAAAAAGACTAGATTTTAAAGTCACGCCTTCCACCTTTTACTTCCAACTGACCTGTTTTTATTTTTCCAGTTATGTGGTATCGGGGATGCAGATGGAAAGCTGAACATCTGGGACTGGAAGACCACCAAGCTCTATCACAGGATCAAGGCTCACGACAAAGTTTGCATCAGTGCTCTGTGGCATCCGCACGAAACCTCAAAGGTCATCACCTGTGGCTGGGATGGACAGATCAAACTCTGGGACTAACTCTGATGGCGTCTAAAATTATGTGCAGAACTCAGTGATTCTTGGACTTTATTAAATAATTTTGAGTGAAAGCCCACAGGCTGGTATCCAGTCTATTTGTTTAAGTGTATTTTTGTATCTTGAGATAAGAGCTCAAATATGTACATATTATATTGTGTGTGTACAAGAATGAGCATATTGGAATCGTTAACAATGATATGGCGAAAGAAACATGATAGGGTCGACACTTTTTTTTTCTATTTGTAGTAGTGTTCTATGTTCTTTTTTAAATGTCTTGTTCTACAAAGTGTTTTTTAATAATCTAAACATCCTTTTGTGGAAATAAACATTCTGCCCATTACCTATTCTAGACAACAAAACTGATTTGTGGTGCAAAATGTATTTCTTTAACCATAATCAAACACAAAGTCAGAAAAAGATATATAAGCTGAGCGTGTGCAGCATTTGGTCTTATCCTCACTCAACAGCAGTGTGATTTGATGTGTAATTGAAAAAGGTGCGCATGCAAACAAGAACAATCACCTTCAAGAATTTTTGAAAAGTGGAGCTGCAGGAGGGAGGCAAGCTGGCTGAGGCACTTAAAATAACAAAACATGAGGTCTCACTCTCATGTCAATCAAATTCCTGAATTGGTCTACTTTATTACAGGTAAATATTTTCTGATCCTTAAATTTTTTTTTTTTTACAAATGAAATAAGCCAGTCAATATTTAATTAAATATCAAAGATCTTGCCATAATGTGTTCAAATATATCTTGTACATCAGAAACTAATATGATTTTACAGATGAATGCAAGTTTATTGCAGCAGAGACTGAAACAAACTTTAAATCAAAGATGCCTGCCAGTTCTCAGCACTCAGAATAATGTTGGAAATTTAATTAATTCATTAATTCTTTTCAAAAACATTGTCACAATATATTTTGAATGATTACACAACTGAATGCATCACATATTAAACCTTGAAGCAGATGTGCTGCTGCCTCAGATGGCCCTACTAGGTGATGTTCGCAGCCTGCTAGAACAAGAATTTGAGGCTACGGTTTGAACAAACTCGCCAAAGAGAATAAACATCAGACCACTTGGCCTTTTACATTCAGATGGTAGATGGTCAGATAACATAGAAGTAAGATTTCACCTTCCAGGTGGTAGGAGGTGGATGACTTAGTACCACATGGCCCAGCTAAAACCCTCCCAGGCCGGTTTCTTTAACAATACTGATCTTGGTTTACTCCACTGACTGCCAGTCACAGTCCAGCAGAGCACATTTGGGATGTGGCAGAACGAGAGATTCCTATCATGGATGTGCAGCCAACCACTCAGCAGGATTTGTGTGATGCTGTCATGTCAATATTCAAGAAAATCTGTGAAGAATGTTTCTGACACATTGTTGAATCTGTGCTCTGAAGGGAAAAGGAAAGATACTAGCAAGTTGTACCTTATAAAGTGTCTGGAGAAGGATTGTATTCTTCTAGATAGCATACTGCTATGCTATAAATTGCTTCTTTTTTATATTCACTTATTTTCAGAGTGGCAGGTTCTTTCTTTTACCTTGTCCTTGGAACATTATGTGTGTTTTTATCCACTATACGAGCTGTGTGGTCTTTTGGCCATAGATGTTTATGAAGAGGGAACGGCTGGCTGTGAGCCAGGCTTCAAGAATGTCTAAATCAGGCTGACCTGCAGCCAACAAATACAGAGTCGCTGGAAGTAATTACTCCATCTGTGTGAGAGTTCATCACAGACCAGACACCGAGTCTAAAAAATAATTTTTTTATGTTTATGTACCATCCATGAAGGCTTCCATCTTATGTTCACCCAGCTCACGGTGTATGCGCTGCTGGCATTCAAGATGTTCTTGTGTAAAAAAAGATGAGGTTTGTTCAGATGGTTGTGGACATGAAAGAGGCGAAAACCGGCTCGTTCGAGCTCCTTCAGCAGGCTGAACCAGTACCGCACCACAGACGGGTCATCGCCGGCCACCTCAAAGCCCGCCCAGTGCAGGTGAAGTTCCAGCAGCAGCTGACCCACAGACTCCAGGACTCCTTCCAGAACAAGGTTCTCCAAAATCTTCCACTCCGCGCTCTCCATGTCTGCTTTTAGTACATCCACCTAGAACACAGGGATACAAAAAAAAAAAAAGATTTGGAAAAAATTTTTTCACACCTAGATAATAAATGAGTTTTATTGTAGCTTAAAGGCGTAACGAGTTATTGAATTCAAAAGCTATTAAAGGATGTAAAAGGAGTAAGTGAAGCTTGGCCTCGGCTGTTGCTTCAGCAGTGCTGATGATGGATTGAGCCGAGGCACAACTTGACAGAGCTTGCTGGGATGGAATGGGGAGGAGTTGTTTCCTAAGATGAATGTTAATAGCACCCTGAGGTCATATTTATGTAAATAGACTCGTGCATGCTCAGTGCTTAATGCATCTCTCCAGGACCTTGAGTTTGATCAGAGGTTTAGCAAACTACTAAAGTTGCCCTGTTTCTGACCTTTATGAGTTTAAATGTTAAAGATAAGTTTTTGCTTTGAAGAGTAAATTAGACATTATAGATGCACCAAAGATGACATTTGTGCATTTCTTAGTGTAAAATAGAAAATTTCATAAGTATATATATAAAAAAAAACTGTTATAAGTGCTCTGCAAAAAAGTGTTAAACCGTCTTTTATATATATAAGCTTCAAACTTTTTTGTAATTTTTCAAGGTAGTTATGACTGTTCATTAAATCTTAACTTTAATAATGCTTTTGTCAGCATTGAACAGAGAAGTAGTATTTTTAATAAGTTCCACAGTTCCAACAGCGGTTTGCTACTTTCTTCTGGCTAGTCTGAAGGAGTTGAGAAGTTGTGGGACTGGTGTCCCTCCAGTCTATAGAGTTGTGGTGAGGAGTAGTGCTCGGTCCCACCAGGCGTTTTGCACAGCTTAATGGTTGCCACGGGTGATAAAAGGATTTCTCAAATATGCATGGAAGAGACAAGGCAACACTCCAGATTTGTTTTTTATGAGGGAATAACATTATAACCTAATGTGAAGATCAAAATGTCGATTTTACACAATACTGCCCATTTAAAGTTTGTTTGTTTGACTTTAGTTGGTTTTTTACCCTTTCTCAGTACAGTCCTTCAATTTGAGGAGCATGTTTTATAATGAGGACTTAAGTACAAAAGAAAAAAATATAGAAAGTAAGGTGGAATACCGATATATTCCACAAATGAATACATTTGTTGAGAATTTTGTCCCACTGAACACATCATCCCAGTTGTTCTACATGATGGTGGCACCTCAACTGTGGTGAAAAGCGGCAAAGTTTGCAAAGTGTTGACTATTTGGACCGCCTTGCACATTCACACCACACTTTTCAGATTTTTATTTTTAAAAGATTTGAAAACTGTGTACCCTTCTTTTCACTTCACATGTGAGCTGCTTGGTGTTTATATATTGAATTTCAATTAGATCTATCAAAGTTTAGGGATATAACATAAGGACTGGGCAGCCCTGATATCGGGATTTTATTGGCTTTTTGTGCAGTACATTATCCAATATGCAGTTCTTTTCTCCAAACAAGATGCAACATTCGGCAACTGACATTTGTTTCTTTGTGAGTCTTTGGGAGTCTTTTGTCTCAGTTGGTAACCAGCGCTACGTAAATAAGTCATTTGGAGAACGTTTTTTTTACCCATTGCAGATCAATGCTCAAGGCAGCACAAATGCAGGCGTTAACCTTTCTGAGTGACTGTTTCCTGTCTGAGGGGCCTGGCAGAACCTTTTGAGAGGAAACAATTCTGCTAGTGCCTTTGCTTGCTCCATTGGCACACTGAGTACTCACATTAAAATCTCATTATGAGGGCGTGTGCATGGTCCCGCATCTAAAATAGGTTGACTACTGTCTTCAGTAAACCAGCACAGTGTGCCCACCCACACACTACGCACAACAATGTCATATTTGTGCATTTCACAAACTGAGTCATTCCAATACATTGGCAGATTCCAGAAAATTGGAGTTGAATTAAGATAAAAAACGCATCTATATTTAAGAAGAGGCTTTCTAGACAAGAGTCATCTTTAAATTCGTGTCTTTCAGCTGCCAGCCTAAAAAAAAAATAAGGAGGTTAACAGAGTTTACTTACTTCATAATACAAAAGTACCAGCATGAGAATGCAATATGCAATTTATTTGTAATTAATATAACACTACTGGGATTTCAGCAACACAGTGATGTGAAAAAGTATTTATTTGTCTTCTGGCAGATTTCTTGGTGAGGCAGAATTATGGACAAAAATAGAGAAAGTAAGATGGAATACCACTGTTTTCCATAAATACATCGTGGAATACATCCCACAAAGAGTCAGTACTTGCACGCAATGCCCAAATAACATTGAAACAACAAAATGATTAAACACAGGTCTGTGTTGCCACTTACGTCTCTGTGTCCAAAGTCATCAAGAATGGTGGCCAGTTTCTTGTTTGCTTGTCTTTTAGGGACAGTTGCTGGACTGGGGTCCCTCCAATCTATAGAGATGCTGTGGAACCACATTTCAGCTCTTTGTAGGTGAGGTTGCTCCAGGCTGGGATCAAAGCAATGGACCTCACAACCCGATTGTGCAAGAAAATGCTCCATGGAGTGATCATCCACTCCCAAACTGAAGACCACAGGAACCAAAAAAAAAAAAAAAAAAAGAGAAAGATTTACAATTACTACTAAAAAACATTTCACTGTGATGGTATTTTGACAGATCTGCAAAATAGGGGATAGCTTGAATGGCAGATTTAAGACCTAATTTTACACTAGATGTAATGGGATGCACTTCTTCACAATGCATTTATATCTTTCTTTTTGGTCAACACAATGTTTTCCTAAGTCTTATTAATGTTTTTATTATTATTATTATTATTTGCAAAATGTGAGTGAGGCCATATTGCTTTTTTTGGTCTATCGTCTGCCCTACTGCTGCTGTTTCTATAAGTCTCTTGTGGCCGATTTACATATGAGTGCTATATGAGTGATGTGTTAACAGTACAGGTCTAAAGAAAATTAAGAGAAAAGCAAAAAATAGAGGAAACCTATCACGAGCTAAATCTCTTCATACATCACTGTATTGACTCAATAATGTCAAAAGAAACCAAGATGTACAAGCAAAAAATTACATAAAAAATTGGAAATTAGAAAAGCATGACATGTTTCTGTTAAAATGATCTCTAAAGCATTTCTTTCTAAAGAGGGCAAAACTGTCTGCTCTTCAAAAATCATTTCAACACACCCAGAAATGACTCATTTAATTTTTCGTTTAAAATCAAAAACATGGGGACAACCCATAAAATGACCATATTTCCAAGGCCTTATTCTCTGAGGATCAGAAACATCTGTACTAAATATTGTGAGAAGCTAAAAATTTACGAATGTTTAGGATTTTTACAGCATAACAATCCACTAATTCCTTTCCTTTCTTAGACCAAATTTTAACATCATAAGACAGTGGGAGTTGATCGTACTAAAGCCCAGTTCACACTACACGACTTAAGAAAAGTCGGCCGATTCTGGAAACGTGAGAGACCACACCTGTAAAATTATAGGTGTAACGGGTTCGATCGCAGAGTGTGAGGATTCACTCGGAGACATTCTAATTCCAGATACGAAATCCCATCAAAATAAAATTCTGCGCTGCCACACCTGAATTTAGAGTAAACAAGCAAACATGGACAACGACGTTGAAGTGGTAACTTTAGTTTGCGGACATATGTTAACTCGAAAAGAACGTAACCAAAAATCAAAGCTGGATCGCGAGCAAGAACTGCTCTTCTCAACCAGATGTACTCTGTGCAATACCCCCGCCCCGCCCCACGGGTGCGGGGCCAGGCCCGTACTGCGCATGCGCGGGGCCAGGCCCGTACTGCGCATGCGCGGGGCCAGGCCGTACTGCGCATGCGCGGGGCTGGGCCGATACTGCGCATGCGCGGGGCTGGGCCGATACTGCGCATGCGCGGGGCCAGGGTTGAATGTGCGCATGCGCGGGACCGGGCCGGTACTGCGCATGCGCGGGGGCCAGGGTGAATGTGCGCATGCGCGGGGCCAGGGTGAATGTGCGCATGCGCGGGCTGGGCGATACTGCGCATGCGCGGGCCAGGGTGAATGTGCGCATGCGCGGGGCCAGGATGAATGTGCGCATGCGCGGGGCTGGGCCGATACTGCGCATGCGCGGGGCTGGGCCGATACTGCGCATGCGCGGGGCTGGGCGATACTGCGCATGCGCGGTGCCGGGCCGGTACTGCGCATGCGTGGGGCCGGCGCGGTACTGCGCATGCGCGGGGCCGGGGCGGATGTGCGCATGCGCGGGGCCGGGGCGGATGTGGCGTTTGTCAACTTCCGGTGGCTATGGGGTTAGCATTAAAAGGCTAGGAAAATGGCTCAGTCTCGGCGCAGTTGTTTTTCTTCAGTCCCTGGTTGTTTGTGGAGCAAGAAAACAGCTTTATCTGTCATATCATGCGTTCCCGACGGACACGGACCAACGGAGGCAGTGGATCCAGGCGATCCGAAGAGACGAAGGTCCGGACTTTTGCATAAAGTCGGGGAGCACTTTTGTATGTAGTCGCTACTTCACACCGGAGGATTTTGTTAGCGGATCCACCACCAGCCGCCTTAGAAGTGGAGCTGTTCCTTCCCTGTTTGCCTGGAATAACTTCTCTGAACCGGCAATGAGAGAGTCTGCTTTCGAGAGGACTAAGAAACGGCAGTTTGTCCTCTCAGAAACTAGCCAGGCTGAAGATTACTGCGGACCATGACTACACGGCACATCCACCCGCAGGTAAAATATAGTATATTGTATATATTTTCCATGTATTTTAGTGAAAGATCATTTCACTAAAATATAACTATTACTATAATAACAATATTATTATTATTATGATCACATAATTATGAGATTATGTGGTTATCTATATTGTGGAGAGATTAAGTCAATGGCTGTATACATACATGCTCCGACTCACAACATGTATTGATCTTCACAGAAGTAATGTTTCAAATATATAACTAAAACTTATTGCTAACCGTATTTTGCTATTTTATTTAGTGGTTTTACAGGTGCACTTGATGAAGCTCTGGATTATATCAAGGAGTTGGAGGCCAGACTTCAAAAAGTGGATTTGTCTGCCACACTTTTTAGCCGCTACTGTGCCTCTGATGACCAGATCCGGCTCTACACCAAATTTCCATCTGAATGTGTGTTTCCGGATCTTCTGGGAGTCCATTGCACCCTCTGCATCATGCCTGGTGTTCTGGACCAGAGCACAGAAACTTGGAGAGGAAGCATGTGCTGAAGCCAGCCCTGCCGCTGCATGCCTCTGATTGATGAGTTCCTGATGTTCTCATTCAGGGTAGCAGTGGGCATGAAGGAGCAGCTCATTGCTGACATGTTTCAAGTCAGCATAGCTACTGTCAGCCAAGTGACCATCACCTGGGCCAACTACCTCTTCATTGTGTTCTCTTCCATCAACCTGTGGATTAGTCGTGAGAAGGTAAAAGCCAGTATGCCTCAAACATTTCTGAAGTTCTCTCCAAATGTCCGTGTCATCTTGGACTGCACAGAAGTTGCTCTGGAAAGGCCATCATCCCTCACCTTACAGTCTGAAACATTCTCTGCCTACAAGAACCACACCACTCTGAAAGGGCTGATTGGAGTTGCTCCCAGTGGGTTGGTGACATTTATTTCAGCGTTGTACACAGGCTGCATCTCCGACAAAGAAATAACGAAGGTCAGTGGAATCCTTCCTCTGCTTGAGCTGGGACATGAAGTCATGGCAGATAAAGGCTTCCTCATTCAAGACCTCCTTCATGAAGTTGGTGCCAAACTCATCATTCCACCATTTAGGCATCCTGGTTAGTTCAGCAAGGAGAGAGAAGAGACCCAGACCATGCTCGGCTGCAGATCATTGTAGAGCGAGCAATCGCTAGAGTAAAGTGCAACCACATCTGGGATTCCCTGGTGCCTCTCACTTTAATAGGAATCAAATCTGGCACAGCTGTTGTGTTTTGGTAAATTATCAAGGCCCATTTTGTGTTGCAGACTAAATTATTTCTGCATGTTAATTGTTGTAATGCTATGTAAAAAGTTAAATGTCTAGACTTTTGCAAAAAATATTCAATTAAAACACTTTCACTTGAATTGCAAGGAAAACAAATCAAGTACAATTTACAATATCTAGTAAAAATAAAAAAAAACATAACTATTTCATATTTTATAATTGTACACCATACATTGATTTAACAAAATACTTAAGACAACCTCAAGGAGAAAAATTTTAAAACATAAGTTTCAAGACAACTGCAGTTAAGAAAACACATTTTTGTAAATTATCCAAGTGTGAACTGGGCATAACTTAGCATTTTTACAATAGCATAAATTAAGTGAACAATACTCTAACTATAATCTCAACTGAATATTTTTGTTACAGTTCTTACTCTTTTACCACACACGAAGATATGGGAAGAAATAAAAATGTGAAGGATGTTTATGGTAGAGAAAATTTTGTCTTGGTTACTCCTATTTCTTTAGTGTTACTTTTTTGTACTTGTTGCAGCTTGATAGGGCCATACATTACTCATTTTCTCTCTCTGTTAACCTCCCATGCTGTCATGTGTGCACATGGTGGTCTCAGGTTGTGGGCGGCATTTTGTGTGTGGTAAGCGTTATGAGTTTGAGTGTGTACAGGTGCATAAAGAGGACCTGGATCTTGTGCTGAAAGTGAGCAACTTTCTGCTGAGGTTTCTTCAACCCTGTTGGAAATGTCATTACTTGGCCATGTGAAATGCAATTATCAACATAAGTGTTTGTTCTTTTTTAAGCTTGTGAAATGGGCCAATAAAGTCCACAATGAGAAATGATGCAACTCATCTTGATTATACACACTCTGCCTTTGGTGATCTATTTAAGGTTTATATGCTGCAGTAAAGCTCCTTAGATCATCTGTTTGACGTGACTTTGCCTTTATTTGGAAATTACTCCCTTCTCTAATCCCACATTATTCCTTTCCTTTTTCTCCTAACTCAGGTTCTCCTTCTGCATTCCCATGTCTCCTGTTTGTGCTGCAACTTTACCCTGTAATTGTGGCAGTGGGAATACAATTCACTGACGGATGAAGCACCAGATCCCTGAACTCATCCCACTTGCAGGAAGATGAGAGATGAGTAGATGCGAGGGACTGAAGACGATGTCTCTTTTTACACCACTAAATGTGTCATTGACAGCTTCCCATTCTCTAGTGTGAATGACTGCAGTAGCACTGTAGATGATGGGTATCACCCACATCCCAGCAGGGAGTAAAAAGGGGGGCTTACACTGCAGCAAAAGCCTTTCTGACTGATGATAGTGAAAAACGCTGTCATTTCTTAACATTAGAGTGGCGTGCAAGAGCAGAGACACTCTGGGAGGAAGGTACCATAAACTGGTGCAGTGAAGAGAAAATTCTTTTAAAAAGGCATATTACATATTTTTTGAAGTAGTTACCTCCTGAAGTCTTAATTTATGAATTTCCGAAATGCTGTTTTTATTTCTGTCTCATTACTTTAAGATTTTTTTATTTATCATAATATTGTTCATGGTCCTCAACAATTTATTTGTTTTAGAATTTTAAGTTTTTAATATAAACTTACTTAAAAAATTCTGACCTTAAAACAGATTTAGAGATGATCAATGAATTCTCACTGAATGTTTTTTTTTATAGTAGGAAGCTAAATAATCATGTCATTTAATTCTACCTTCTCTTACACTGTTTGCATCGAAGAAAACACTTTGCCCCATTAACTTGCTTTGGATTCAGTGATAATAATTACAGGGTTATATAGCCTGTACACAGTGTGTTAGAAACTACATTTCCTCAGACAGCAAACATGGTCCATTCATAATAAAGTGAAGGTATTTTTACTTCCCTGCTGAAGAGCTAGCCTACATAAGTGTTCTAAATTTGTAGCTGCATGGCCTTGAATCTTCAAGGACGGTTGTGCATCAATTTCAGGGAAGAAGCATCTTTTCTGCACTTCAAGACAAGTTGATCGTAGTTCAGCAGGAGATGGTGAACTCTGATGAAAAAAATAATGACTGCTTTTGTAAACGAGGTGGGTCTTTTCATACCGTGGTAAAGGAATGGAAAAACCTCCTCATATTGTAATGTAAATTATAAACCGAAGTGACAGAGCTCATCAGCAGAGTGACATCTAGACTGCTGGCACAGACGCACACAAGCTTGGAACGAAAGAGGATTAAAAATTCAAACACAGACAGACCACAAATCTGTCTCAATCAGTCCATCTGTTTAAAAGGACATAAGGGAGAGTGCTCTATTGACCAAACATGGAGTCAAATGTGCCAGTCCTTCCACTGCAGACATTAAACAAGCGGCAAGATGAAAAATAGGCATACGCTAGATTTCTGCTCTCATTTTGTTGAGCCCACCAAAGGTCACACATGTCACTGAGGTTTTCATTCAATCATGACCAAAAGACTGTAAAGAAAAAATAAGTATGGTACATGCAGCATAAATCCAGACTTGTTTGCACCTCTGATAAAGATGAGTAAAAGGTGGTGGAACAAATCAAGCTCCTCGCAACATATTATCACCTTGAAAAATCCAACCTTTAATTTGAGTCTGTTTATCGAGGATGAAAAGAATTAAATCTCAATTAAAAATTAAATTTTAGAAAATTGTGGTATGACAGCTACAGTACCTTTACTGCTGCTGGAAACACTTCTTGATACAATGTGTATTCTACTTCTAAGACATTTCACAGGGTTGGGTCATAGATAAGGGTTGTCTCTCACCAGTCCACCTATACAAGGTTTAGGTCTGGGGATGAGAATAATTAATTTTTTTTTTTTTTTTTTACAATTTCTGTGTATATTTAGCCATATTATTTTGATCAACCTGTGTAAAGACACAATGACAACCTAGTCTCAGTTTTTTTTCTCCGAGTCCACCAGATTTTTATTTTTAACTACCTTGTGTTTCCAAGTTCATGAAGTCATACCCCAACAAGGTTTAACAAACTCCACATGCTTATGTTTAAGATGGTAGTGCCATTGAACATAACTGGTAGATATTTATATATCATCTAGTGGTTGTTAAAAAGCCTCCATGACCTCCAAATGTCAATCTTTGTGCAGCCTTCTAACAGTAAGCTTTGGAGATTTGGCTTCACTTCCTTACTTTTGTTCTCATTGTGTGCAGTGACAAGATAAACTTTGGTACATTCTTGCTTGTCACAGTTCAAGTTGATTCAAATGTGACTTATTGCTCTAACTTTGCACATGGAGTAGCTTTGGCAAGGAGCTATTGTCATATAGCCATTTCATAACAAAGTTCAATACACATTTGCCTTATTTGAAAGTAATGTTCTCTTGTATTTTGTATTTTAAATAATGTATAAGAGAAATGTGTCTCTGTGTCATATTAAAAATGCAAGGAAATAGGATGTTATAGATTATTAATTAGAGGTTCCTGACAATTATTGTCATAATTGTTGTCAGTAATGATGCAACAAACATGTAAAACAAACACGCAAAAATACTGTATAGTATTTTTCTCCCATTGACTAATTGTATAAAAATTAAAGGCAGTATACTTTCTCAGAATTTTTCAGTATGAGATCATGCTACTGCAATAAATAAGGAATTTATTTTAAGCAGTTGTAAAAATGAAAAATGATGCTCATAAACTGAAGTTGACCTTCAGTGATCAAGTCTCTGCACTTCCATTCACCTATTTACATCCAACTCTTACATCTGATTATCTGGGCGACACTTTTCTTAGACACTATGCAAGAAAGAGCTGTTTCATTCTCAACTAGAAAACATCAAGTCAAAGAGGGAAGTGTAGGAAGGTTATGGAAAAAAATGAACTCTAAATATAAATAGTGGGGGGTTTAGAAGGTGGATAAGTGATCTTTCATGTGGAAAAACATCCTGAATCCATCCCTCTCCACACACAAGCGATAAGCAGCCGACCAATTAGAGGGCAGCTGCTCATCTTGTCCAGACACAGCTGCCTTTAGCTCATTATCGACTGAGCAAATGAGGTCCATCAACTGAAAACAAACGGGGCACAGCTAGTAAATACATACTCCGAGATGTGATGACTTCAAGGCTGTACACACAGACACCTGTGTTTTGCATTTCTTTATAACCCAGCTCTATGTGCAGCTGTGAACTGTAGCTTGAATCTAAATAAAGTGGTGGAAACCAGTCCTGATAGCAGGATGTTCAGCATGCCTGGCTTTGTGTCAAGAACATGACCAAGAACTCGGTTGGTGTGTGCATAATAGTAGGAGGTCAAATTGGGAGCATATCAAACAGCACGGCAGAGTGAAATTTTCAAGGAAATTTCTGTCGTCGTCTTCCTTTTATTGCCTTCATTGCCAGAGTTGAGGAGTGACTTGAGCGTATTGATTTCATCGCAAAGCTCTCCAAGGATTAATTGGACTGCAGAAAAAAGTGAAAAGAAAGTCTTTGTTCCCTTAAAGCAAAGAAGTAGTGACTCACATAATATTGCCATTCAGATTGAGTATCCAAATGTTTTCCATTGGCTGTTTTTCCAGTTATTGTTTTACTTTTCTGTCTTATAAGCTAAGCCTGGTCCGCTGTCTACTAATATGATCAAAATATTAGTTCTTACATTCATTTGCTACTTTGTGCTAGCTTAAAATACAAAAGGCAAAACAAGTTTGTGATTTAACCAGACGAAATATTAAAAAGTTCAAACAGTGTGAATATTTTTACAGAGCATTGTCTTTTCTGATAAATAGAGATTTTCATCAGTCAGCCTGAGAGTGTCACCATCTAACTTGTTTCCTTTTTTCCAGTGAGAACCAGCCATGAAGAATCAGGAGTGAACTGACCCCATTGAGGGTCTTTGTGTCTTCATTCCAGGACACCTGTGCTGTCTCTCAGTAGTCAAATTAATAAGCTCTCTCACTGCAGAAAACGCCTTTCAGGTGTCTGTTAACCCCAGCCAGAGGGAGGGCAGGCAGGGCAGAGCCCGCCAAGATAAGATGATCCTCGACATAATTCAGCTGGGAGGATTTAACCCTCAATCCTCAGGGAGGCCAAACACCTTAGTGATTCGGTGGACCTCATTCAAAATGACTAGATAATAAAATAAATCTTAAAAAAGGTTAAAATGATTAAGTGTGATTAAATCACATTCTTTTGAGGATATAAATACAAAATATGATAAGAGATAGACATGGGAACAATTCTTTATAAAGAACTAAATAACTAAAAAAAATAAAAGGGATCATATTTTTGGATGACAATGAGTGATGTAGAGATGGTTACATTATTTTTTAAATATCTATATGTATTTACACATAAGGAATAAATCATTTTGCACTTTAGCTTGGCCCCTTACACAAATATATTAAACATGCACAGCATGGATGAGTAAAGGTTTTCTTATACCCACCCGAAAGAGTACACTCTACAGTTCTTGCTCTTCATCCTGTGGGTTATGCTGAATTTTGGATCGAGGCACACAGCCCAGTCACCAGTGGATGCTCCTGTAGTGGCATCATTATTAACTGCTGACGCACAGGTTACCTGGATACAAAGACACACAATATGTGCAGTTGTCGATTTGGAACAGTTATTAGTTTTAACATGAGAGTATTTCAAATACTGAAGCATTGCAAAAGCCGTATTCACAAAGCGAAAGCAGGCCCTGATTTGGAAATTAGTACTATTGGCTCACTTTTGAGTTTATGTTGTATTAAAATAAATCATCTGTTAACAGATAGTGGAAAAGAACTGATGACTCAATCTATTAATCTGTGATCTGTGTTAAATTATACAACATAAATCTTCCTATAAAAGTCAACAGTGGCTGTTATATTAGTATTGAATCTAATATGAGTTTATTGTGTGTGTATTTGCATGCATATGGAGTCTTGTCTCTTTTGATTGAACATACTAATATCAACATATTTTTTTATTATTGCTATAAATAACTGCAAACGGCTGGAGAATTTGACCACAGCAAGTGAAGTGTGACCTCTGTAGTTCGATCTCATTATGATAATACTCCACATGACGTACAGCTGGGGTTGCAGCTCAGAGATTGACTGACATTTCTTGGTCTTCCAGGGATAAAACACAGCAGGACAGCAAAGATGATGAGAAAGACATCAAGATTTCAAGGTTTTTATATTCCATATAGTAATTCATTCCTTAAACTATGATGGATCATTTTTCTTTCTGGCTCTCATGACAGAATTTGAAGCCAAATTCAGTATTTAATGTCTTAATACATTAAATACTGAAGCTTTTGGAATAAAAAACTAACAGGGTGTTTATAAATATGTATTAAAAAACCCTCGAAGAAATATTAAAAACATAGATCGTTAGTCTATAGATCGTTAGTTAGTCATAGATCAACTGTTTTGCACATAGCTGAGGTTTTAGCATGAGAGCAGGTTGTTCAAGCTAGTCTCTTAGTTCTTCAGCTTCAGTTTGCACAAGGAGGAACCTTGTTGGCACTCACATCATGATGCGGAGCTAACATCTAACTCTGTCTTACACTGAGTGCAAACACAACGGCATGCCTGGAGATATGTGTGTGTTCCTTCATACTCTGTGGTGTATAATTAGCTTAAAGTGAACAATCAGTGTTAACATGCAGAAAAATGACTGAGAATGTGGGTGTGATTAGCCCTTTCATAAAATAAATGACTTGCAATCTCTTACAGTCACTTGTAAAATTACAGCCATTGTTGGCTAAAAACTGACATTTGAAGCCACATTATGTATGTTTGCATCCGCTGCCAAAATTGACATGTTTACAGTTTTGAAAGATCACCTTGCTTTGGCATTAAAGAAATTCCAATCATGTTGTTCAAGCAGAGACGCACCAGGTTAGTCAGGCTTCCTGTCATCTCTACCTTCAGGGTGTTTTGTTGTACCTAACATTGAAATAGCCCTGGTCTCAGGTATTACTTGAATTAATTTTTGAATTTTAAACATGCGCCACAATGTCCGACACTGATAATGTGCACCCAGCTGCAGGCATCATCAGCATATAATGTTCTGAATCGGGAACTGACCTGCTGACTTACAAGCATTGTAAGACAGAAACATCACTTAGAAAAAGTTATTTTTTTAAGCTTATAGTTTGAATTGAATACCAATTTCTGAGAACATACGAGGAAGTGTCCCTGCGGTGTTTGTTATATACCTTTCAGAGAACGCTTTCTCCTCTGTGTTTCCCAGTGTCTGCTTAGATGCTGCTGACTGCTGTTGATTGGACAGTTGTGTTGCAGGCCATCTCTCAGAGTAGCAGCTTCACCAGATATTGTGTCAGTCAGCATTACAGCTGAGGATGCAGAGGATTCCCGCATAGACAGCTTCCACCCTCGTCTGTCACTGTCAATGACGGACAGCTCCCTTTCACTGCTTCCCACAAAACACACGCTATCTTCCTTCTTCTTCTTGCCATTCTCTCTTGCTTTCCCCACATGCAAATAACCAAAAAGTACCCATTTTCTCTCTCTCTCTCTTTCTCTCTCTCTCACACACACACACACACACACGAGCTGAATCTGTACTTTGTTGAAGTTATAAAGTGATGATTCTTAGTAATTTGGACCCAGACTCTCTTTGTTCCTGCTGCCTTACAAAAGAGACACAGATAAGATTCCAATTTATCTCCAAGACAAATTCATTAAAGTGAAAATGCCAAATTTAGTTTTGGGTGATGAAAACACAAGTCTTCAAATGGGTTTGGTGTGGGAACAAAGAGAAAATTATCTCTCAGTGCCACAGGCCTACAGAATTTCTTTTTAATCATGATGCAGAACATCTCTATTGATTTGCTGTAATTGATACTGATATAGAAGAAAAAAACAAACTACAGCATCTCATTGATTCGGTCTGAATAGAGGTGCTGTGAGATCCATCTATGTTGTAATCAATAGAGTAATGAATTACAGTGCACGACTGAGTGAGACAAATAGCTGAGCTGCATATAGAAGAGATCTATGTGTCACTTAACTGTAGCCTGAGTGGTACAACCTTGTTCTGGTGTTAATTATATGACCTGTTTCTCCTTTAGCACTAATGTCGCATTCAAATATCTGCGTTGGCAAATAACCAGAGTCAAAGCTGCCATTTTGTGTTTCTGAAAACCACATATGCTCTCAGCATTAACAAAATCCCCAATTTTTAGTCTTCTTCAGGTGACTCAATGGATTTTCTGTCGACTCTGAGAAGGCCATCAGACTCTGTGATGCTAACAACTAAAATTCCTCTTACTCACCTTTCTTGTGGACACCTACAATATCAAATTTGGATTCATCAGGCCGTGGCACATTATCCCACAAGGTTTTAGCTGTGGAAGAAAACACCTGCCTTGCAACTGTGCACCTTGTTCCAGATATATGGAGAGGGTAGGAAATTGTTATTCCATGTAGAAGGCAACCATTGTTTGACAGAATTTCTTGAAGCTCTCTTAGTGTTACTGCCGACCTCGTGGGAACTTCCCTGACAAGTTGGAAACAGATTCTTACAGGTTTTAATTTTTTCCTTCCAAAGGATATGTTTGTTTTTTACTTTTACTTTTAAAAGATAATTACCACAACACAGAGATTCATTAAACTTAATGATATTATAGAACATTTATTTTACTTTAGTAACACATTTCATTAACATGAAATACATCATAAAGAGAGTTGCTAATTGTTTAATTATTTGATAAAAGGGTGGTATATATTTTTGAAAAACTGAGATTAGTAGCAATGGATTAAGCAGCATTAGTACCTCAAAATAAGATTGAACAGTAGAAAGAATTCAGCAAGATAAAGCTGGGTCTCCATATTGTGCTGCTTTGTGTTGTATCAAGAAGTCTATACTTTATATGCAGTCTTCTTGAGTTCAACAAAAAGAAATAAGAGTGTCTCTTGCTGTTAATTGCTGCTATTACTAAAGAATCACATGTACATAAAAAAATAAAAACTGCTTCATCCTACAGAAAATTATTTTAGGCAACAGTAATCCTTTGACCAATGATTCACCTGTGGGGTTGTGATGTAGCTGAGGAACCTTTTAGCTTCATCCTCCAGAGAGTGGTGCTCACTTGCCCAGGGCTGGAGATTTATATGCCAACGCAGAGCCTGTAGGTAAAAACACAAACATACAATGTGTGGGGGACAAAAAGAGAAAAAAAATATAATTACATAACCTAAGTGGGGCACGCTCAAGACATTCACTGCAAGGGAAGGGGTAGAGCTTGATTATTTCAGGTATCATAACCCACTTGTGCATACCCAGTGATAGAACTGGGTCATAATGTACTCTGAGAGGACGTGTAACTGCACGTACATAAGTAACAAACTCTCACCATTTGCTACCAATGTTATTTTACTAAAATGATATCTGGCATTTCTGTGAGTTTACAGTCTTCACAGTCCTTGAATTTTTTTATTTTATGTTTTTCAAATTATAACCACAAACTTCAAAGTACATTTTGTGATTACATGTGACAGAAAAACCAAAGGGAAAGAAAATGATATTAGTTGTTTAAAGGAATGTGAAAAGTTAGACTCTGCTTGTAGAGTATTTGCTCCGTCTTAAGTCTTTTGTAGCCTGAAGCAACTTTTTCTTCCCCAGGATTGCTGTGTATTTAGGTAGTTTGCAAGTTTGTTGAAAATAATCCACCTGGTTAGGAGTTTAACAGATTAAACTCCAGACGTCCTAGGAAAACTCACTCTGGGAAGACCTGACACAGCTTGATGCTGCAGTTGTCACATTCCAGAGAACTGGTAGCGATCTTCTTCATGGCCTGCTTTATTTCTACTGGAATGTGTCTGTTTATGATTACAGCAAAGGCTGTGCACCAGTGAACAATCTTTAAGAGAAGGAGCGAGTTATGATGTATTAGTTGCTTGCACAATCATTTTCATGAGCCAAAGGTGCATTAGCAGCAGCGGTATAAATTATCATGTCTGATTTTACTGCTGAAGACTTATTCCTTTCTCCAAAAGTGATGTTTAGATACTGCAGCCCAAGTAAAAATGTTCTAATATTTCATATAAATGGTTTGAAACGATCATCCTTGAGATGTATTTGACATATTATTTGTGTTTCTTTAGTTCTGAACAATATCCTTTAAGGCCACTCACTGCCTAGTGAGGTAAATAATCGTCTTCTGGGAATTCACTTGAGGTGCCTTTCTTGCTTTTCATTCAAAGCACAAGGATGCATTAAAAGCCATGACACTTTAATCTGTAATCACCTTGAATGCACCGAAACCCTGTGCTTTCTGCTGATAAATTATCTGACAGCCCCATATGTGTCATTTCTTCCTCCAGTGGTGCTGATCTGGAATCTGCTAGGGCACAGCCTCAGCTATAAAGAATTAATGGCTGCAGAACCTTAGCAGCCATTTGGCTTTTTGGCATTTAGTCTTAAGCTGATCTCCAGACTGTCACATTTCTGAAGACATGCCACTTGTCGTTTCTCCCCCCCATCTGCATTTTATCCATTACTTTTTGTGATTCTTTAAACTCTGTTCCTCTTCAGCTTATCCAGAAATTGTGTCATTATCTGAACAAAGACACAGTAATAAGTTGTTGGGAGAAAAAAAAAATTACTGTATATGGAGCTTTTTTAGACAAATCTAATTTAGCAAAGGTTGCTGATATCTTTTATGGATATCTTAAGTTTTAGCCTACAATGAAGGAAAGAATTGTCCACACAACTGGATTGTTGAGTACATTATAAGTGTTAGGATGTCAGATTGTTCTATAGTTTGATGTGATTCTAGTTTCATTATTATTCTGTTAGTTTCTTATTTTCATTAGATCAATCTTGTTTCTGCTTTTCTTTAGTTCACTTCATCCTGAGTGATTCCAATTTATTTTTTTTGTGTCCAGTTTTTCCTGGTGCTTTAGTTTAACTATGTTCCTTATGCCTACTCATTCTTTAGTGTTAGATTTATTTCCTAGTCCCCTGTGTACTCTCCCTTGCCAACTTCACTTTCTCTTATTCTCTCTCTGTCTCGTTCTCGCCCCTCACACCTGCAGTCAGTTAGCCTTTCAGCCCAGGTTCATTGTTCCACATTCACTCTCCCCGCACTTAAACACTTTGGATTCTCTCTTTGCTAGTTTCTCCTGCTATAACCTGTTATTGTCCCCTGTTTCTTCCCCGTATTCCCTGCTGAAATGTACAAGCCAGTAGTTTGGATTTATAGCTTTTTTTCTTCCCTGGCTCCCTGTGGTTTTTGTAAGTTTTTTTTTTTTTTTTTTTTTTTACTCCAGTCACTGATGCCTGTCATTCAGCTTTTCTGTAAAATAAAAATTCTAACTGCAAAAAATATTTGAAATCTGTCTGATAAAGTTGACACTGATAAATAATCCCTTGCAAAAACAGGGGATGTGAACCATTGGTTCCAAACAGAATTGCTACAAAGAGACAGTAGTAAAGAAAGAGCAGTTGTACAGATGTAGAGTTCATGCATAGGTAGACAAATAACATCCACTTGTCAGTTTTCTGGGAACGCAGAAAGCTCCCAGGCCTCTCCAATTCTGAGCTGCCCTTTTCATCTGAGTCCTACATGGACTGCTTAGCTGTCAGATCCTATACATCACTGGAGTACAAGGTTGGAACTGATCAGAGGGCTGCTTTCTGGGACAAATGACTCTTTGCGAGGTTGGAATATAGGGTAAGACACAGTTCAGTAGATATGGAGAGGAAAAGGACAATGAGATTTTTTTTATCTGTTTCTGCTTGCAGTAAATACTTGAAAGCAGTTTTCCACTGTGGGAGTCATATTAACCCAACAATTCATCCAAAGCAAATATTCTGTACAGGGTTCAATATTTGAAAATCTGATCCTATATTTATTCAACTGCAACTTCCCATTCTTAAGGGATTATCATATTATAATTTTGTCCAGGCATGCATTAAACAATGAACGATTATTGGTTTTCATTGACTGAAGAATCATCGGTGAGCTGTGATGAGATTTGCATTAAGACACCAAGTTCGTTCAGGCGACAACAACTCATCAGCACCTCTGGAATGAGAGTGTTAATGAGCAGCGTTAATAACAAATGCACCAATGTGTGATATGAGCTGTGCTAATTCTATTATGTTGGAGTTTAATACCTAAAGTAATTGCAATTACCAAAGTAGAAAACCTTTGCACATCGACTACAAATACACATAAATGGCAGTGGAAATCGAATACCAAGAAGCAAAATTGTCAATTGTGTTTGCACAAAGTTTATTTGCTTGAAACCATAAAAAAAATTACAGGTTTAATTTGAAATTAGAAAGCTAAGAGTGCTCAAATGAAACATTTACAGATATGAGCTTCAGAAAGTCATATGTCAAAGGAGGTGTAGCGAGACATTCAGAAGAAATTCAGAGGAAATGAAACATCTTAAACTTCAACTGAGACGGTGGTGATAAATTGAACTTTAGGAGCATGGTAACGATGCCGACCAAAAAGAATGGTGTGCCATCTCAAGAACATTAATCAGATTAAGTACTCACTGTAGCACTTTCTCAATGAAAAATTGCAAATAAAATCCATAAAATTGGGCTGTAAAAATATTATTGACCAGGTCTTCAAAACGTACTTTTCTGTGTGATTCGTCCTATTCTTGTATTTATGTCTTCTCTTTTAGCTTATTTTTGAGAAAGTGTTCATAAAATTTTTATATGTTCTGTAGTGGTGCAGTTAGGTTTTTACCTTTTGGCAAGTGCTTGGTGTAAAAAACCTCTGTAGACTGTATATAGCTGTATTTATCTACAGTTACAGCTTTTCTGGCAGTACTTGTTTATTTATATGTTAAGACATTTCAATGAACCATATTCTTGGTAATCCGATTGGTCAGTGTTACTTTTATAATACTGTGTAATCTAAAAACTTGCACAGAAAGATACTTCATCTGTCTTCTTTGCATGTTAAATATTAAATAAACATGGAATCTGGCCTTCTGCTCAATTTGCATGTTTGGATGAAGCTGTTTTTGGATGTGTGCCTTAGAGCCTGGGTGTGCAAAGGTGTGAGAAGCTAGGCCAAGCATGAATAATTCCCCAAAGACAGAAGGACGGATGAGTGAACATGAGAAGGCTGGATAAAACAAGACAGGACTGTTTGCCTCAATGTGCCAGGCGGCTAAAAAAAGGAGAGAGAAAGGTGAGGGGCGGGGCTAAAAATAAACAAGACCGAGATGAATGCAGAAATTCTGTGAACAGAATGATTTTTGTTGCTGGTTTTGGATTTATGCCAATGACAAAAAAGCCTTTATGCAATGATAATGTAGGATCAGCGAAATTGAAGGGACAAAATCAATGCTTGCATAAACAAATTTATATCATTTTGTCAAATTATGTGCCGAATCAAGCCACAGGTGAGTTGACTTTAGCAGGTTGGGAATAATAAAACAGGGATCGCTGCCAAATCTGCTCTGTGAAATGGTTCAGAGCCAGAAAAAGGGAGGCTCAGAACCCCTGCTTGTTTTTGGCACTTCTCTGTTCCCATCACTGTCTAGAAGCTTTTGTTTGACATGGCCAAGCTGCACTGTTAGGACAGCGGTCTGTAACCTTAATCATCAAAGGAGTTTTTTTTTTTGGCCTTCTCACAGTCTGTCTGGAGCAAATGCCTCTCTGACTCATAGTAGGCACATAGGAAGGCATCTGTTCAAGAGGGCGAGCAAATTAGAAAGTTTTTTTTTTAATTTTTTTTACACAGAACTAGTTTCTATTAAAACCATGAAAGCTTTCTGAGAGAATGTTGATGCCTAAGATTTTCCGGTAACAATTTATTTGACGGGTTGTGGATAAGACTGTCATGATCATAATCTGACATAAATTTGTTACAAAAGTATTACTGATTAAACTTTAAAAATTATGTAGCTTTATGTTGTTAAAGTTAAAATGTAATCAGTAATACTTTTATACCAAATTTATGTCCGATTATGATTTCTTGGTTAATCACAAGTTGTCGTAACAAAGACATTTTGAATAATGTCATTTTCATATTTAAAGTGTCATTATTTACCAAATGACATTTTATGACAAGTCATAAATATTCCTGAAGACTGTCATGACAGGTTATGACAGTCTTATTCACAATCCGTTTAAATAAAGTGTTACAGATTTT